GGCGCCCCCCCCGCAGCCCCCCACAGTGCACTGGGCCTCTAGTGTCCATATAATGCAATACTGTGCGATGTTAAAAAGGATAAGAGATCTTTATGTATTTGACATGAAAAGATATGCAGAATATATTGAGTAACAAATGGATTACTAAATATTATAATATTGATCCAGTATACTTAAAAATATGTATTTGTGTGCATATATTTATACATCTATATGTGAAAAATAAGAGTCTTGGAGGTATATAAATCAAACATTAATCAGATTATGTTGATACTTGTAATTAAGAGAAAATTTCACTTTATCTTTTTGTATTTTAGCAACCATGGATTAACAGAATTTTTAAAAGCACAGAATGATCTCTGTAATATGCCTTTCTCCATTTAAGGCACTTAGTAAGAGCTTCATAAATTGTATCATCATCATTATCATCATTCAGATGAGATCTATTTAGAAATCCAAATTAATATGAATACGGGGCTTGATCATTTTAAACTTCTATTAGATTAAGGCCAAGAATGCGTTCTTCCTTTATTAGCAAATCAACCATGTCCAGGCCAAAGCAGCTCGCCCAGGATCACCAGGGTGTGGAGAGCTTCACTTACCTCGCCTGTGCAAGTCCAATCAAGAACAAACCTGCCATTACCGCAGTGGAAAGAACACAGATTGCTTTTAATTCCTATCCAGATCTACCAGCTCTCCTATTTCCCTTTAAACAGCTTTCAGAATGCTAATGCTCACCACACCTCACCAGCGTTTTAAGAAATGCTGTCACTTCAGGAATCAATTCGCTCCTCCGTAGCTTTTCCTGGAGCGCAGAATTTTAGGTATGAAATGATAGGCATGGGCTTCACCATCTGGCTAATCCGGGCAAAATGCTTTTCCGTTTCCAAGTGCATGCAGACAGCATACAGGCTGCCCTACTACAATGGTCACAATCTCCACTGCACACAGGACCAAGTCCAAGCTCCTCTGGTAAGACTGGGCCCTCCTTACCTGCCTAGCCATCCCTGCCTGCCTCCAGGAGTCCTGAGCCATCTCCACTGCACTGTGACTGAGTCTCAGCCTCGCTTCAAGGAGGTCTCAAGACAAGCAAAAGGAATACACTTTTAAAAATAGGTGGGATCGCGTGCTGCTGTCAGAGAGATGAGAGAGGTCATACAGGTTGAAATTACTAGTTTTTTAAATTGTATTTTTTCCTTTCTTTTTAGGAGAGGGGGATGTCATCTATAGAGTACCTAGACTTATTAAATGGACTTGAACACAAGATCTTAGTAACCTTTCTTCTTCCTGCTGCTAGATATTTGGTTTAACGTGACTCATTATCACGGCTAGATTAATGTTTAATGTGGCCTGGTTATTGTTTCATTTCAGGCAGAAATATATAGCCAAGAAGATGAAGCTGGTAGAGTAAGAGGTGTTTAAATTTAACTAAGTGAATTTGGTAAGTAACTAGAAATGCCGATGAATACATTTTAAGAGTTTAACTGCGTTGGGGGAGCTTTAATGAGACTGTATAGATAAAGAAAACAGCCAACTCTAAAAAAGAAAACAGTTTGTACTAGAATTATCAAGCATTTACAGGAAAAAATATGAAGAGAAGTCAGTCTTACTTTGAATGTCAGGATGGCTCACCATGGGTCTTTGTCCTTTACTCCTCCCATTCTGAAGCTTCAAATATAAAGAATAAGGTCACAGTCCCTGTTAGTTTTTTCAGAGTCACATTATGTTACACCTCTTTAAATATTTCTATAGAATTTTTACCCAGGAAAAAACAAAAATATCACATTCACTGTTAAATTATCTAAAGAAGAAGAGCAAGAGCTATTAACTCCATGAATCCTACATCTTGTAGCCAAAGAACAAGGCAACTTTCTTTTCAAGAAGTGAAAATACAATTAACATGTAAATATGCTAAATTAGCATATTAGAATGTTTCAAAAGAGCTCAATAAAGTCAGCTGTCATGGTAATAGTAGAATTGCTATAAAAGCTCCAAGACAGCACAACTGGGTATGGCTCAGTGGTTGAGCATTGACCCATGAACAGGAGGTCATGGTTTGATTCCTGGTCAGGGCACATGCTCAATCCCCAGTGGAGGGGAGGGGAAAGGGTGCACAGGAAGCAGCCAATCAATGTTTCTCTCTCATCATTGATGTTTTTATCTCTCTCTCTCCTCCCTTCCTCTCTGAAATCAATAAAAAAATTTGGAAAAAAAAAAGAGTTCCAAGACAGAACAAGCTGTTGAAACATGCAATTGACCTTAAACCTGATCATTTAACACAGAGGCAATGTATGTATGGTTAAGAGTGGGAGTTCTAGCTCAAATAAACCTGGCTATAAATTTTGTTTCTGCCACTTACTAGCTATGTAACCTCAAGCAAGTTATTTAACCTCTATATATCTGTTTCTTTATCCTCAAAATGAGGACAATAGTGGTACCTACCTTATACATTTTTGTAAAGGTTAAATGTATTCAAAGCACTCAGGACAGTACTTAGCACATGAAGTGCTTAGTCCAGTTACTGTTTTTCTATAATTGCCCAGCTAAACATAAGCCACATGTGGGCTTGATTCTCGATAACAGCTACCACTTCTGAGGGCTACAGTGGGATTAATCAGAGAATTAAAGATTGAACCGACCCTTTCTTCTCAGATGACAGGTCCTGTGTAAGGTACACATCCCACATACTGTCAACCATCTGATACGCTCAGCTTTCAAATGACAGTTTCTCCACTGAAGCTATCCTAGCCAAAAGAGAGAAGTAGACTGTTCATTACACTGTCTTAAGCTAAGTCTGTGTGTCTAAAGTAAAGAAAAGCATTTAACCAGTGACATAGCCCACAGGTTGATGATATTAAGTAGAAGTTCAAGCTCCACATGGCTATGCATTCACTTTTACATACTATTAAAGATACATAACATTAAATCCAAGCTAGATTTAAGAAGCATTATACTGAGCCCTTGCCGGTGTGGCTCAGGTGGTTGAGTGTCATCCCGTACACAGAAAGGTCAGCAGTTTGATTTCCAGTCGGGGCACAAGCCCATAGTGCATTCGGAAGGCAACAGATTGATGTTTCTCTCACATCAATGTTTTTCTCTCCCTCTTTCTCTCTCCCTAAAATCAATGTTAAAAATATATTTATTTTTAAAAGCATATTGCAAAGAAATAAATGAAATCAAGTAAGCATTATATTGCAATGTCATACAACTTTTTTATTCTACAATATGTTGCTATCATGTGCCATTTAATGCCACCGTATCTATTTTTATTGATTTGAGAGAGAGAGGAAGGGAAAGGGATAGAGAGATAGAAATATCGATCAGCTGCCTCCTGCATGTCCCCCATGCAACCAGGGCATGTGCCCTGACCAGGAATCGAACTGGGGACCTCTTGGTTCAGGGGTTGATGCTCAACCACTGAGCAACACCAGCTGGGCTGCCACCATAACTTTTAAAGCACTTTTGCAGTCATGTATGAGTTAATATCTAGGTATTCGGCTCCTAAATCTTGTGAGAAATTCACTGAGTTCATGTGCTACAGTGCCTGCTTATTAAATAAATGAATGATCAGGGTCACAGACTAATATAGAAAATTTAAGGAGAAGTTTATACACAGAGCATGTGAGTTCTCAATGGGCTACAAAGATAGTGAATACAATTACTTCCATTAACAAAACAGAAAGACAAAAGTAAAAATGGGGCAGAGTTTTAACTAAGAATGGTGACCTAATTTATATTAGAGAGACAATAGCAGAGAAAGCTCAGAAAATCTGAGTCAGCATCCTAAATCAGTTTTGTCTCATCATTTAATATCACAGAGATTCAGAGAGACAAAAGCAAGCATAATTGGTTCTTGGAAAACGACAGACATATCTAAGCGATGGCGTATCTAGTATGTAGTTTATTACATACACCACGGTGTAGAGGAAGGCACAGGGAGTGGGCCCAGTTCTGGTGATAGCTGGAGGTGGGTAATCACTTAGCGTTCTTTAGGACTATGTTTTCTTATTTGTTCAGCGAGGGGGCTGGACAGTATAATCCTTATCATCCTTTTCAGCTCTGAAATTCTATTGCTCAGTAGCATCTCTTACAGCTCATGTTATTCATTAAACTATTTCTATCATAGGGGTAGTTAATGTTTTCATCACATACTTTTATGAAAGTCTTTATCATTTAACCATGAAATTGCACTCTGATCTAAGCCCTCACTACAAATTCCACATATCTTTATATGGGGATGAGGATGAGATTATACTAAGATTGACTTCTCAGAATAAAACATATTTATGTTCACAGATCAATAACATCTCTCACCCTGGCCGGTTTGGCTCAGTGGTTAGAGGGTTGGACTGCGGACTGAAGGGTCCCAGGTTTGATTCTGGTCAGGGGCACATGCCCGGGTTGTGGGCTCTGTCCCCAGTCGGAGGCTTGCAGGAGGCAGCCGATCCATGATTCTCTCACATCATTGATGTTCCTCTCTCTCCCTCTCTGTCCTCTCTGAAATTAATAAAAATATATTTTTTAAAAAGTTCTCTCAATAACAAAAATGAAAGGGTTAATCAAGAAACAGGGCTAACTCAGCAGGGGCTAACAAAAGCAAGCCTAAGCCCTGCACACAACATGCTCCCCTTGAGTGGTTATTTTACAGAAATTCCTGAAGACCATAATTCCCCAGGAAGAAGGACAAAGGGCAAGGCCGTAAAACTATGACCCACGGACCGGGCAAGGTCCTGATCTGCCCGGTCGTGGTCCGTGTGTCACCCTAAAGCTATCTGCAAGCGCTCCCTACGCGCATAAAAAGCCTGCTCCCTCCCCATTCGCCACTGATTTCTTTTTCAAACTCAGTCCACCTGCACCCAGGTGCCTTGAGTAAATATCTTTTTGACTACACTGAGCCTTGAGTCAGTTCTGTGCCACCCCGGCCCAACTCCGAACCTTTCAAAAAACACTTTTGCCGACATCATTAAAATAAGCTCAATAAAAAGCAAATGCCCAGAGAGGTAAATACAAATGTATTTATTTGGAATTATTTTTTGTCCAAACAAAAGATTGGGAATAAGTTGTTACACATGTATGTTTTATAAACACAGGCACATTTCTACCACAATTTTTTCAAGTGTTAAGTAGAGTACATAGTGTAAGAATATATATTTTTTAATTAAATTTCTGAAGCTTTTTCATGCTGGGATTCCACACATTTGCTCCAGACTCACCCTTAAGTTATATGAAGGATCCTTAATACTCAAGTTTGGGAGAGATGCCTGGAGGCCATTTACATAACTTGTTTCTGCTCCTTGAGCTGTAAGCAGAAGAGAGTTAAGGTTTACCAATTATTATTAAATGAATCTTCAATGATAGCTCAGTACAAGGTCAATCATCATCTTTGAAAATGCCCTAAACTTTCCAGCCACCTTACTTAATTCAAAATATCAGATCAGATGACTCTTCTTTCACCAGCATCATTAAGAAAGGACTAAAAATGCTACTCTTGTACTTAAACTTTTATCAGTCATTTGGGGTGGAATAGGAGGCGGGCGGGGAGGGGCAGTTCTGTAGATCACTGGGTCTCAGCCATGTCCTTCAGGCTGTGACTCTGGGGGCAGTAGGCTGCTAACAGGCCCCAAGCTGAGGCTGAGTCTAAAGGACAATGGGGGCGGGGGACATGCCAGAGAAGGCGAGTGTGAACCTGGTCCCCTTTACCAAGGGAGGGGTTTTCAGCAGAACAGATGCCCTTTTTCATGAGAAGATTTTGTGAAACTCAGAACATATGCAGGAAAGCCATGGAACCCCAGTGACAAGATCCCACCCAGAGTTGGATGGTGATCAGGTCAAACGCTGGAGCAAGGCAGCAGGGCATATCCTCAAAAGCCCTGAATGTCCACAGCACCTCCACCAGGTGCAGAAAATAGGGGTGCAAACTCTTTCTTGAAGGTGGGAATGTTAACAACTGCTTGGTGGCATGTTGGAGAAGGCCAAGACTCGTGGGTCATGGGCGTGGGGTGATGAAGTCAGCAGATCTGGGATATGAAAGATATAAAGGGATATGACCTCTAGTCACAGGCTACCAGGGGGCTGTGAACATTCAGGTGCTTTCCATCCACCCAACAATGGATATTTACCAACCAAACCTACCCTGCACAGGGTACTTTCCTTAGACCGCGGAAAGGCCAAAATTCTGCTTACCAGACTGCTTGTATTTCTGGATTTTTGTCTTCAGGTCTATTCTGTGGATGTTCTTCAGACATTTTTCTAATAATTCCAATTGATCTGGAGCAACCAGATTTAGCTTCTCCAATTCCATCACAAGATCCAAGAAGCTCTAAGAGAGACACCAACAAGAAATAAATGTCAGTAGGACTAACGATTAAGCCCCAAATGCAAAATTCAGGCTGTGGGTGTATAACAGCAAGAAACGGTGACAAGTGGAGCTCCTTCAGACCTTCAGGGATCCTAAACTAGACTTCTCTGCTTGATAGGCCTTCCAGGACCAGGTGCAAAGTACTCTCCTGAAGTTTACTCAGCAAAGAGGCAGTGGGAAGTCTTTTGGTGGCCAACCTGTGTCTAGGTTGGGAATGGACACATGGCCATTTTGTGTCATCAAGGAATATGGTGAGAGAGCGGGCCTAAAAATACAGTAAAATCCTCCCAAGCTGCTTCTCTTTCAAACACTCAGGCTGGTGTTATTGTAAAAAACACTAAGGGCTTTCCCGAAAAAGGAAGAGAGAAGGTAGTTTGGGGAATCTTTTTACTAGGAAAACCCCAATGATACCGTTTTGAAGTTCCTCACATTTTTAATCAATGCTGGCCATTCCAACTCACTGATTCAGAGGATATGAGGAGGCAAAATTTCAAGGTCAGGGCATTTTGTTACTCAGCCATTGCCTTTGGTTTCACCTCCCTTCTGCTTAAAATTTGTTTGCTGACGTGCTATTTTTATTCTAAAATAGAATAACCATGCCCTAGCCAGTTTTGCTCAGTGGATAGAGCATCGGCCTGGGGACTGACGGGTCCCAGGTTCGATTCCAGCCAAGGACACATGCCCAGGTTGTGGGCTCGATCCTCAGTGTGGGGCATGCAGGAGGCAGCCAATCGATGATTCTCTCTACCTCTCCCTTCTCCCTTCTTCTCTGAAATCAATAAAATTATATTTTAAAAAAACAACAACCCCATACTGTTCTCACTTTCTGCCTTCCCTCACCCCCAGCTTGGGCCTCCCTGCTCAAACGCCTGCTTCCCTCTCTTCACACCATAGAGAGTATCCTCCAACTTCTGATGGGCTCTTGGGAATATTAACCAAGAAAAAGAAAACGCACCTTATCCTTGGCAGTCTTGCCTCGGCCCATATAATCCTTCATGAGAAAAATTAATGAGGACATATCAGATTTATCCAAATGTTCACCAATCTCAGTCATCAGCACCCTGTGAAACAGACAAGTTTCTTTAGTAAATTCAGATTACCAGTCCCAGTGAGACCACCAAGAACCTATGCCTCCTCTATGCCAACAATTGGTTAAAAGAATAGTTCTTGTCCCCATTTGAATGTGCCCCCCCCCATAAGACAGAAAGCCTAGATCACCCCAGAAGGAGATCTTAAGGGAACTCCAAAAGATAACTCATCTTTTCCCCAGTTTTCAATAGGAGATGGTACTTCTCTTTCCAACTAACTACTCTGAAAACAACTCAGAGAATAAAAACTTCCCTAAAGAATCCCCTAGCTCCCCCAGAAGTTATGAAGAAATAAGTAAAGAACCTGAATGACTAAGATGAAGACAGAAATAGAATGGGAAATGATCTTCTCTGTTGAACAACCTCCCTGATGCTGATGCTGATGCTGATCCGGGGACCATACTTTGAGTCACAAGATTCTAAAGCAAACACCCGGCTCACTCTGAAACTCAAAGGGTAAAGATCATCTAGAGGCTGGGGATTGTGACCGCAGAGGTCCTGCTCTAGAAAGCCCCTCCTAACTCAGTCAGTCACCTCTGTTCCAGTAAGAGCTACCATCATGCTTTATTGGGCTTAAGGGCTGTTTTCCCAATTAGACTCACAGAATCTTGAGTATGGAAGAGTCTTCACTTACTTTGCTCTAGCACTTTCCAAAAAGCAGGCTGGCATATATCAACCCACAAAAACAAAAGCTACTTAACAAATAAATAAATGGCCCTAGCCCAGTTTGGCTCAGTGGATAGGGCATCAGCCTGCAGACTGAAGGGTCCCAGGTTCGATTCCAGTCAAGGGCACATGCCCGGGTTGTAGGCTCGATCCCCAGAAGGGGGCATGCAGGAGGCAGCTGATCAATGATTCTCTCTCATCATTGATGTTTCTATCTCTCTCTACCTCTCCTTTCCTCTCTGATATTAATTTTAAAAAATACACTTAAAAAATGAATACATAAATCTAGCACTCCCCTCCCATTGCCTGGCCTTTCTGCCAAAAGGCCCTGAGAAACTGCCTCCCCACTCACCAACCATAAGAAACAGTAAATGTTGAGTGCCCCCTAACTTATTCACAAAAACCCATTTGGTGCCTCCCAAAAAGTTTTAAGGTTACTGATATTATATGATGGTTATGATGCTTGGAGAAGTGGAAAATGACCAAGAATAACAACAGCAACAATTACATTTGCTGAGTGCTTCACAGTTTTAAAAGGTACTTCACATGCTAGATTATCACAATTGAGCCTCACAAACAACTTGTGAAATTAGGTATTCTATTATTCTTAGCTTTACCACTAGGAAAAAGAAGGCCCAACCAATGTTAGTGGCTGGATCAGCTAACCAGGCCTGTACCTGACAGTTTTGAGGCTTGAATCAGGACTTCAGACCTCAAGTCTCAGACACTTCCCAAGGCCCACACTGCTTTCAACTCTCTTTAATATATTTTTTAATAATACACATCATCTCCAACTATACATTATTGATATAATAAAGGCTGGTGGCCCAGCTGGTGTGGTTCAGTAGATTGAGCATTGGCCCATGCACCAAGAGGTCACCAGTTCAATTCCCAATCAGGGCACATGCCCGGGTTTCGGGCTCAATCTCTTGTAGGGGGTGTGCAAGAGGCGGCCGATTGATGTTTCTATCTCCCTCTCCCTTTCTCTCTCTCTCAAATCAATAAAAACATATGTTAAAAAAAAAATAATAACTCAAGGCTGGTGGTCTGGAGAAAAAGGAACTGCTAATTTAAACAGTTCCCAACAAGTTTTAAGGTTACCGATATTATATGATGGTTGGAGAAATGGCTTCTGTGCACCCCAGAACCTCCAAGAGCACTTTGTGTGAACAAAAGGAGCAACTTAAAGGCTGTATGAACTAAAGGGGACTCCAGCAGATGTTCCTCTCTGATGGGGGATGAGATGTGGTCTTTCTTAGCTTGACATGTCTGGACATGGTAATTTCCATACTGAGGCTGGAATTTTCATACAGAAGCCTCTGGAAGTAGGAACTTCCCAGAAACTCACAAGAAGGAAGTCCAACCCACTAGTTTCCTCAGGAACAATTAGAGTTCCACAAAGATCACCATCTGACTTGTTTCTATGTGTTTGGCTCTTTGTTTATCAGTTTATGTTGTTCACTATAGTCCACAAATGAGTGAGATCATGTGGTACTTATCTGACTTGTTATTTCCTTTCTCAGTATGGAAAATTGCCAGGTCTGACATCATAGATCTCAATATAGAAAATTGCCAGGTCAGACATCATAGAAAATAAGCTAACAGAGACCACTGCAGATCTCACAGAGGCTGCAAGAACCACCAGGTCTCGGCCCGGGGGAAGCTCAGTGGGTTAGAGTGTTGCCCCGATACTCCAATACTATGTGGGCTGGATTCCTGGTCAGGACACTAACAAGAATCAACCAATGAACGCATAAGTAAGTGAGACAACAAATCTCTCTCTCTCTCTCTCTCTCAAATCAATAAATTAAAAAAAAATTTACTAGGTCTTAGTCCTGCCCATTTCTCTTACTCTATCCATAGGGCAAATACATATCATCTATCACTTCCACTGTCATTATAATCTACTACTACCCAACTAATTAAAGAAAACACCACCTAGAAATTCAAAGAGCTTAAAGCAGTGGTTCTCAACCTTCCTAATGCCGCGACCCTTTAATACAGTTCCTCATGTTGTGGTGACCCCCAATTCCATTGTTACAAATTGAACATAATTAAAGCATAGTGATTAATCACAAAAACAGCATGTAATTATATATGTGTTTTCCGATGGTCTTAGGCGACCCCTGTGAAAGGGTCGTTCGACCCCC